CATTTCTTTTAAAGCATACCTCGACCGTTCAAGACTTATGTGGGTGTCTAATATAATTGAAGTGCAACAGTATTTTTCTGGAATGTTACATTATCAGAAGACACCAAAAAAAAACATTTCATGTGAATCTTGACCGAAATGAAAACGCAGCTTTGTACAATAGCCATTTTTGTCTCCACTTTAGGATGCAACTTTCCAAATCATTACGATGCCATAGTACAACTTTACAAATTATTGCAATGTGCAACTTTTCCAAATGTGGTCGACTTTTGTAGGCTAGCTGCAGGCCAGCCACGACAAGGGCCTTTCATTCGGAATCAGATCTATTTTGGATTTTTATGTTTGGAACTTTCGGATCGAGAAATTGGAACCGTTGAAGAGAATTATTTAAGTCATTGAGTTCTTGTGAAATGGATCAGTAATAATTGATGAATGCCAGCTATATCAACCAGTCTACCACGGCACTGTCCAATGCTAGAGACAATCAAGTGTTGATGCACAAAAGCTGATCCCCTTAAAGTTGGATTTCATTTAACAAATCTTAAAAACGTATAAAAGTACTACTAAATTATACACTAATGGTATCAAGTGACCGTAATTGTGACTTAAAACCTTTATCTTCTCTTATAACTTAAAGTGGCGGAGCTTTTTTTATTTATTTTTTCTCTTCTCTACTGGCGTGGTAAAGTTTCCATTACTTTTTTTTTTGGATAATGTTAGTAAAATAAAATTTGTAAATAAATTTTGTAAATTAAATGATATGAAAGTTGATAATCAAATTATGACTTAAGCTTTGATAAACGTGATGATTCTTACTAATGACACATTATTTAGTTTGTAAATTTTATCTACAAATTTAGTCTTCTTAACATTATCCGTAATCTTTTGTGTATATCCTCAATTCTATCACAAGACGCAAACACGCACCAATCCGGAAGGAGAGGAGTCGGAAGACCCACACTATTTGTTGGCATAAATAAATGACACAACACTGCACCAAAATTAGCAATTGTCATTGTACAAAACCAAAGATAAATAAATATATATATATATATATATATATATATTTTGCATACTATCGATGAACAAAAATGAGCAATGTTTGATGTATCCGGACATGATTATGCGGTGTTATTATTTTACTCAAATGTAAAACGTAAATTTGTTCTTTTATTAATATACCCAAAAAGTGACATACGTCAACATTGTCACCTAACTTTATTATAATACGTACAATAATACACCATCTAACTTGTATATTTGATATCCATAGAATTTTCTCAACAAGAACACATTCATCAAGCAAGTCACTATGTCCTATAAATATAAAAATAAAAAATCAAGCAAGTCACTGTATCATATTGTTTATAATCAAAGAGAAAATTTCACACAAAACCAATATCTCTCTTCTTTTTCTTCATTTGTTTTAAGTTAAAGAATGAATATGTCATTTTACAATCTAGTGATATTCCTCTTCACTTGAAGTAAGAGATCTTATGTTCAATTTTCACCAAAGGTGAATTTAAAACCACATTATTCATTATTGATAGCACATTGTGAGGCTTAGCCCACTCTCCAACCTTTAGTGTAGATAATATCGTTCGCTAAAAAAAAAAATTAAAGAAGAATGAATACAATAATTTTCAAAATAGTGAAATATTCCTAATATTAGTTCACAGAATTAGATGTAAATTGAATTTATTCATAAAATTAAGTTAAAAAGAAAAGAGAGATTTCTTTTTGGTCAGGTCAATGCAAACTATCCCTCATCGACTACGATGTCGGTGGCTGTAGATCCATTGCATGGGTACAGAGCACTGTGGTAATGATTATAAATTGGATTCTGCTAAAGCTGCTAGACAAACCATCAGTCTATACTCTTTTATAAATTGAGTTTTAACTTCCGCACAAAACAAATATCATCATCATGGGGATGGGGTTTTACAACTCCATTTCTGCAGTGTTTTTGTCATCATTTTTTATGCATGCTTTCATTCTTCACTCTTGCATTCCTTGTTTCGCCCTTCCGGGAAATGAGACAGATAGACTTGCTTTGCTTGAAATCAAGGCTAGCATGACTCATGACCCTTTTAAAGTCCTGACTTCATGGAATGAAACCATCCACTTTTGCTCTTGAAATAGCGTTACATGTGGTCGTCATCATAAGAGGGTCACAAGGTTGAGCCTGCCGTCCTTGAAAATCTTAAACCTAAGCCTACTGCAATCACGGGAGAGAAGACAATATTGTCTCTTTTTTTAATCAAGTATCTCTCTCTGTTGATTGGGATAATTCAGGAAATTCGGGAAAAGTCTAAATTGCCTCTAGAGATCGTGATCACATGATGCATGACAAGTCTCTCTTTCATCCTTCAAAAGAGTGTCGTGGCCAATAGAAATATTATCTCAGTAACAGAGGCTGGTCCAATTGCACTCACCTCATTTTATCCTTCTACAGTACCTCAGTAACAGAGGTTGGAAATATTATCTCAGTAACATAGGCTGGTCCAATTGCACTCACCTCATCGTTATCCTTACATAGTACCTTGCTTCTTCCGGAATTATCAAATCATACTTTATCAGTCAATCAAATTACCAATCGATTGGGTTATATCATACTAATGTTTCTATTTTTTTGATTACTTCCAAATATCCAAACTAGGGTTGTAATTAGGCATGGTACTAAGAGAAGGGGGTTGTATTATGTCGACGATGTGGGTTGTAGCAGAGTGAATCAAGTACGCAGTGGGAATGGTGACAAGATTAAAAAGATTTAGTTAAGGCATCGGCGAGTTGGGCATGCCTCGTTTGGCTATTTATGGAAGTTGGTTATGTTATTATTTACTAGTATTTCAGACTTTGATAGCAGTCCACATGTCTTTCTTTCCCAATACGAGCTACACGAAGAAACATAAAGAATTAAATTTCAGGTGGTTCAGTTGGATCTTTTTCAACCACCATGGGTGGCCCAACGATTAGGGATGAATTCTAGGCCCGTATTCCACATGGCTCCTGGGTTCGATTCCAGGCGTTAGTGAATCGCACGATGGTGGCCAGGGGAGGCTGAAATGCCTCCATGAGTCTTACCTGCCTCCGGAAGGATGAACTATCATGGTAAAGTCACCAACTTGTCCAATTTTATTAAAAAAAAAAAAAAAAGTTGGATCTTTTTCTAATGACTCATAGTGGTCAGATGCGGCTAGAGAACAAGAAGTGGCTCCGATCACTTGGTCAGTACCAATCCTAAGACCAAATGCTATGTCAAAAAAGTACATAGAAAGTTTTGAACGCTAACCTCGGGACCCTTAGCTTCGTCTTACCCCTTCAGACAATACGACTTTCATGAGTAATACGCGAACAACTAAGCGATAGCTCTCTTCACTTGCTATAATCTTCCATCTCTCTTTGTTTCTTTTTTTCTTTTTTTTTTCTAGAGAACCTCGGCGGTATATTATAAGAAGTGTACAATGAGATTTTATAGTGCTAATAAACTAAGTTTTTTTATTTTTTTAATATAAACATTATTTAAAAGTCCCTTCAAAGTTGGGACCATGTGCAATAGCACTTTTTGGTCCCCCAAAGCCGCCTCTGCCGCAGTAGTTGTTTGATCTCAGCCTTGCTCATACCTAAGTTCCCATTACCTATTCTTTTGTGTATATCCTCAATCCATTCACAAGACGCAAGCACGCACCCAATCTGGAACTAGAGGAGTGAGGACGAACATTATTTGTTGGCATAATCAAATGACACAATAATACACCAAAATTAGGAATTGTCATTATACAATAAGATAGCTAACTAGTGTTTTATTAGCATACTATCGATATGAACAGGAACGAGCAATTTTTTATGCATTCGAATACCATGATATGGTTTTGTTACTTGTGAATTTGGTTTTTTATTTTATTTTATTTTTTTATATTTTTTATATCAATATACATAAGAAGTAAGATATATCAACCTTGTCTTCCTCACCTTTATTATAACACGTAGAATAATACGTCACCTAACTTGTATTTTTGGTACCCATAAAAATTTCTTAACAAGAACAACACATTTATCAAGTTAGTCGCTATGTCATGGTTTCTAATCAAAGAGAAAAATTTCATACAAAACTTATATCTCTCTTTTTTCATTTGTTTTAAGTTAAAGAATGAATACAATGACTTCAAAAAAGTGAACATTCCTAATATTAGTTCACAAAATTAGATTGATATTGAATTTATTCATAAAACTAAGAGAAAAGATAGTTTTTTTGTCAGGACATCCCTCATCGAGTACGATAGCGATTGGGGTGGCTGATCCACTAGGTACAGAGCACTCTGATTCGGATTATAAATTGGATGCTGCTAAAGCTGCTAGACCAACAATCAATACAGCTCAACTTTTTTACAACTCCATTTCTACTTTTGCACAAAACAAATATCATCATGATGGGGATGGGGTTTTACAACCCCATTTCTGCAGTGTTTTTGTCATCCTTTTTTATGCATGCTTTCATTCTTCACTCTTGCCTTCCTTGTTTCGCCCTTCCGGGAAATGAGACAGATAGACTCGCTTTGCTTGAAATCAAGGCTAGCATAACTCATGACCCTTTTAAAGTCCTGACTTCATGGAATGAAACCATCCACTTTTGCTCTTGGCATGGCGTTACATGTGGTCGTCGTCATAAGAGGGTCACAAGCTTGAGCCTGCCGTCCTTGAAACTTGCAGGATCTATACCACCGCATGTTGGGAACTTGAGTTTTTTGAGAGTCATTGATCTCGGAGCAAACAGCTTAGGCCATGAAATTCCTCCAGAATTCAGCCGCCTGCTCAGATTAAAATTCCTATGGTTAAACAACAATTCACTGAGTGGAGAAATTCCCACTAACTTGTCGCGTTGCTCTCAGCTCCTCGGGCTCGATGTTGGCTTCAATGTACTGATGGGAAAGATTCCAAAGGAGCTTGGCCTCTTGTCAAAGTTAAGAGTTGTTCCATCCACTTTAACCACTTTACAGGAGGAGTCCCTACTTCTTTTAGCAACTTAACACCTTGTTATCCAAGTACTCAATCTCAAACACTTGCCTGCTTCCCTGTCCAGCAGATGAACTTCCACCGGGTGCAGCGGCAGAAGATGATGAAGTGGAAGAAGAAGAAGAAGAAGAAGGAAGTGTCGAGAATCTAGGAGGATAAGGAGGAGAGCCCATAACTTGAGCATAATACTCATTTGGAAAATTTAGTATGGCAAGATGACCCCTTAAATTAAAGGCAGCATTATCATAAGCCCTTGCAGCTTCCTCAGCGGTGTCAAATGTACCAAGCCACAGACGAGCACCTTGCTTAGAAGGGTCTCTTATCTCAGAAGCAAACTTCCCCCACGGCCTTCTTCGGACCCCGCGGTAACGTACTTCTTGGCTTCCCTTCTCTTGCTTTCCTTGCTTCTCTGGATCCTCTCCTCTGCGAGGGTTTTCCATAATTTCTAGCTTGATTTAACGCACCTTTGTTTGGTCTCAAATTTGGTGGCATTGCAATGTATCCCGTTTTAGGCATTTATAGATTCTATGTATAAATGGGGTCAATGGGGTCATATGCCATTTTAACTTTGATTGTGTTTGTGAGTCTACATAATCGATGTTTCTTGGAAGGTTCTTTTATCTTCATAATTATTATATTATTTATTATCATATAGGGCTAATAATGGCGGTGTAAAAATTCGATTCTTCAACTCTTTCTATGGTAAAATTCAAAAAGGGTTTGTAAACCTCTTTTCTTGGATAGGCATTTTTTTTTCAACCGGGTAGGTTCTAACTTCATGTTCATATTATGTGATAATTAATAGCTTTATTGTTTGTTAATAGTTTTTTCGCCGGACGAACGAACTACTATATATTGTCAACTTACACAGAATATGTGAGGATTGATTCCCAAGTCACAAAGATTGAAAAAATTACGAATAGAATATGAATGCGTAAGTGATTTCATTTGAATAATTAAGAATATTACAAGAGGAATGTCATTTAGAAACAATATTTACGCACTTGTTGACATATTGTTTAATAATTAATACTAAGGGAGCTCACATACTTCAGGAGTATGCTTCCTCCCCCAATCTTTAATCTCTCTTCTCTCACAGTCCTTTCTATGGGAATAAATGAAATAAAAGGGACGCTGCCCTCAAACTTTGGTATGGTTATTCCGAGTCTCCAAATATTTTCCATTAACGGCAACCAATTCAGTGGATCTATTCCTGTTTCATTATCAAATGAGTCAAATCTAATTAGATTGGGGATGGGAGGTAACCACCTGCATGGAAAGGTCCCTCCTTTGACGAATTTGCATAAGCTTAATCGGTTAGTCCTTGCTGACAACCATCTCGGAAGTGGGGGAATTGATGACTTGACCTTTCTCTGCGATTTGAGCAATGCCACCCATTTAGAAACTCTCGAAATGTTTACCAACAATTTTGGGGGCACGTTACCTCAATGTATAGGAAACCTGTCTTCTTCTCTTCAAACCTTCCTTCTAGGTCAAAATAAAATATTAGGAAGTATCCCGAATGAGATTGCAAATCTGGCTAACTTAGAGGTTTTATTGATGTCTGAGAACCAATTATCAGGTCACGTTCCCCCTGGTGTAGGAAAGCTGCACAAGTTATATCTATTAAATTTGAGTATGAACTCTCTCTCTGGCAATCTTCCATCCTCTTTCAGAAATTTAAGTCAATTAAATGTGTTAAGCTTAGCAGGCAACAAACTTCAAGGCAATATCCCGCCGAGTTTAGCAGAGTGTCAGAATTTGAGGATCTTACATCTTGGTGCCAACAATTTCAGCGGTATCATATCGCAAGAAATCTTTGGTCTGCTGAACTTGTATGATTTGAGTTTAGGACAAAAGCAGTTTATAGGCTCCCTGCCAGAGAACATAGGAATTTTAATAAATCTAGAGTATTTAGATATCTCTGATAACATGTTATTCGGTAAAATTCCGGCTAGTCTTGTTAGTTGTATAAAATTAGAGTACCTAGACATGCATGGAAATTTCTTCAATGGGACAATTCCATCAACTTTGAGTTCACTAAGAGGTCTTTCAGAATTGTATCTTTCTCACAACAACTTGTCAGGCACCATTCCAGAATTCTTAGAAAATTTTGTATTTTTGGAATCTCTGAATCTATCTTATAACAATTTTGAGGGCATGTTGCCGATCAAAGGAGTGTTCCAGAATGCAACGGCGACATCAGTTGAAGGAAATAGCAAGCTTTGTGGGGGCATACCTGAGTTTCATTTGCCAAAGTGCAAGCTCCAGCATGCAAAAAAGAAAGGATTGAGCTTAACCATGAAATTGGTTCTCTCCCTCGTTTGTGGGATTCTTGGAGTCATTTTTGCACTAACCTTTTTGTACCTTTATTGCTCATGGAGGGACAAAAAGGGTCAAGCTGCAACTGATTCGGACAAATTTCCCCAGGTGTCTTACCAAAGTCTTCTAAAGGCAACAAATGGATTCTCCTCAACCAACTTGGTCTGTATGGGCAGTTTTGGGTCCGTTTATAAAGGAATACTTGAGCAAGGTGAAACTACAGTTGCCGTCAAGGTACTCAACCTTGTTCATCGCGGAGCTTACAAAAGTTTTATTGCTGAGTGCGAGGCTTTCAGAAATATCAGACACCGTAATCTTGTCAAGGTACTCAGCATGTTCTGGTTTGGATTATCGCGGTCACGACTTCAAGGCCTTAATTTATGAGTTCATGGTTAACAGGAGCTTGGAGGAATGGTTGTATCCAATTCATACAATTGGTGAGAGAAATGAGAGGCCAACGAGCTTAACAATTTCTCAAAGGTTGAATATTGTTATTGATGTTACTATGGCATTGGATTATCTCCATCATCATTGTGAGACGCCAATAGTTCATTGCGACCTCAAACCCAGCAATATTCTTCTCAATGAGGACATGGTTGCACATGTAGGTGACTTCGGGTTGGTGAGGTTCCTACCAAAAGCTGCTGAAAATTCTTCGGGAAATCAATCAAGCTCTTTAGGGATCAAGGGAACTATTGGTTATGCTCCTCCAGGTAAATACACTTGGTGGTTTATTTTTCCCTAGCTAGTATTTTAAAATTGTGCAGTATTTATTTTAAAATTTTCAAACAAGAAATGAACTTTTAACACTTCACTAGAAAATTAGAATCTAATGTTCTGAATTGTGGAATGCAGAATATGGCATGGGACATGAAGTGTGGACACAAGGTGATGTGTACAGCTTTGGCATCCTCCTGTTGGAAATATTTACAGGAAAAAGACCGACCGATGACATGTTTCAAGGAACTTCAAACCTTTATAGCTTTGTGAAGGCAGCTCTGCCTGAGCAAGTGGAAGAGGTTTTGGATCCCGTTCTTGTTCAAGAGAGCAATCATCCTAATGAGGGGAGGGCAAGGAATCGCATCCTAATCATAGAAAGTTTAATCTCTGTTTTAGAAATTGGTGTTGCTTGCTCAGCGGAGTTGCCTAGAGAAAGATTGAACATCTGTGATGCTGTGGCACATATGTGTCGGATCAGAAACAAACTTCGAGCAAATGGTATATGCGAATAGAAGCTTATTGTTAATATGTGGTATAGCATGTAATAGTATTGATGTTATGTGAAAGCGTTCTCATATTTGTTAGATAAAAAATGCAGTGCAAATGGCTAGTTGATCAATGTTTGCCAAACAAACTTATTTGCATCGAATTATGCTTGAACAATGACATTCTAGCTTTGCCAAACATTACAGGACGAACACTCTGAAAGAATTAAAAATAAAATTTAAAAAAAGAAAGTTGTCAAAAGTATTCATCAAATTTCAAACCTATGTTGGATTTCCTACTCTCTGTTGAGAGGCTTATCCCTGGTTGAAAATGGGAAGCGTTCCATGGTAGTTTATTGCTTTTTTTGTTTTATTTTTTTAGAAAACCTAGACGGTACGAGGAGAATTTTATTAATAACAAAAAGTAAGTTACACCTAGTTAGGGGGACATAAACCTAATTCCTCGTAATACAAGAAAAAAGAATAAAAAATACATGAAAAAGAAGGGGTATATAAACCTTACTCTTCTATAAACGAAACAATAAAGATACGAAAATACGCATTCATCAGTCATCCATTTATCAACATTGAGCATTCATCATCAACACGAATGCAGAAAAGAATTTGAGGCTGAGTTCAGTCATCCATTCATCAACATTTATCTGAGCATTCATCATCCATTCATCAACATTTATCTTTCGCTCACTTAATCTCATATTTCATTAAAATATTGTTTTACACATAGTTTGGGGGTGGTCCAGGCAACACAGAGGTGGGCATTCATCAAAGCCATGTCACAGAAAATTACATGAGCATTGACGAAATTTTAGGTCTATAAATGCATGACAGAAACACTTCACAAATCCGTATGACTTTCAGAGATATTAAACCATGCTTAATTTTAACGCAGTAGAGGGATTTGATTTACCTTTCATTTTGTAGATCTGAGTTCTTGCAGCCATCTTTGCTGTGTGTACAGCACCTTCAATTGTGAGCCATTGCTCCTTGCAGTTCCTATTCCCCTTGGCCTTACTCGGATCCCCAAGTCTACATACAGAAAACAAACATACATGCATGAGTCAGAATTTCGTTTTCATTTGAGCTTCGGTTGTGAAAACGAAGGGGAGAAATGGTTGGATGCATTTTTATTTCAGATATCGCCAAGTGGAGACCATAATCGCAGAGAGAATGAGAGATCTTTACCTCGGTTTTCGCAGAGGAATGCACGATGGTGACAATCTGGGCTAGAATCAAAGATCGCCATGGCTGGGTTCCGTTTGTGACAGAGATGGAGATGGATTCATGTTTTGACGTTCTGGGTTAATGATAGAAACTAGGGTTTCAGTTCCATGAGAAATGAAGGGAAAGAGGAAATGAAAGAGATAGCTTTCACGGCTCTGGGCTCGCGGGTACGGCGCTAGTTAGGAGAGATGAGGAAATGGGCCTCTGGTCGCTAAAATGGGCCTCTAGTTCATGTTTCCGCACAAGGATAATGTGTGATTTAAGTTTGGGGGTGGGAAGTTAAAATTTTTAGATTTTTAATTTTTAAGTATGCTAAAATTTTTCATTCTTTTTAAGTTAATATTCATAGATTATTTTAAACATTTGAACAAATGGACATGGTGGAAATTAATTCCACAGTAGAGTCTTTTCTATTTATTATTGTTTTGGCACTAATTCATGAGTTATCCTTTCACAATTAGCACATTCACACCAACATGATTTGTGGGGGTGAGATTGAAGCACTTGCTTTTAGTTAATTTTTTATATTTTTGTTCTAAAAAAATAAAGTTTAGTTATTGTTATAAATAAAGTAATAATTGTTCCACCGAGACTTTGCTTAGTAACCAGGTCAGTCATGCCTAATCAGTAGTGATCTTGTGTCAAATAGTAGAGTCTTGACATGGGGCAAGGTGGTTAGTTGGTTTCGTAGCCTTTTCAACTCGAGTTAGTAAGTCCTTAGGGGCTTACATGTGGTATAACATGTAAAAGTAT